CGATTTGGTTGTAGAGTTTGTAAAGTGTGGAAACCCGAAACATTGGTATAATTAATTGTAGCCTTTACTTGTAGGTTGTTGAATAAACCAATTAACAATCCAAACGGCATCTTCAGTAACCCAACACGTTACAATATATTTTACAAAGTGAGGTGGAAAAAGCTATCAAGGAAATGAGGAAGGGAAAGGCTACAGGAGATGATGATGTACCTTGAGATGTGCTCAAGTTGCTGGGAGAAGGTGGTTTGAAAACACTGACAAAACTAATAAACACCGTATATGAAACTGGGGAGTGGCCCAAGGACTTTACAGAACTAACAATGATTGCCTTAAAGAAAAAGACAAAAGCTACAAAATACAGCCACCATCGCACAATAATCCTTATTGCACATACAGCAAAAATAATAGCAAAGATACTTAAAAGAAGAATTGAAAGGAAAATAGAGGATATACTTGGAGAAGATCAGTTTCGATTTAGAAGAGGAAAAGGAACCAGGGATGCAATTGGGATGATGAGAATTATAGCGGAACGAACTTTGGAGATAGATGAAGAACTGTGTTTGCTTAATAGACTGGCAGAAGGCATTTGACCGTGTAAAGTGGACCAAGTTAATGCAGATCCTGAAGGAAACAGGTATCGATTGGCGTGAATGAAGATTGACTAGTAAATTGTACATGGATCAGAAAGTTAGAGTGCGACTGGACACAGGGGAAATAAGAAGTGTGAAGATTGGAAGAGGAGTTCGACAAGGATGTTGTTTATCACCAATTCTGTTCAACTTGTACAGCGAATGCCTTACCAAGGAAGCTCTGGATGGGCTCGGAGACTTCAAAGTAGGAGGGCAAATTATTCAAACTGTGAAATATGCAGATGACCTTGTGTTAATGGCTAAGGAAGGAACTGTGATACAGGGTATGATTAATAGACTAATCGAAATTGGAAGGTGCTATGGTATAGAAATGATTGTGGAAAAAACAAAAGTAATGAAAATTTCGAGACAACCAACCCCAGTCACACTAAAGATAGACCAATAAACTGGAGAATATGAAATGTTTTAAATAATTGGGTAGCTTGTTAACAGATGATGGACGGTGTACGTGTGAAATTAAATCTAGGATTGCCATGGCAAAAGCTGCATTTAGCAAGAAGAAGAATCTTTTTACCAGAAAATTGGACTTAAATTTGAGGAAGAAACTAGTGAAATGCTACATTTGGAGCATAGCTCTGTATGGGGCTGAAACATGGACACTTAGGGCAGTAGATCAGAAACATCTGGAAAGTTTCGAAATATGGTGTTGGAGAAGGATGGAGAAGATCAGGTGGACCGATTATGTGAGAAATGAAGAAGTGTTAATTAGAGTCAGTGAGAAGTGGAATATCCTACACGAAATAAGAAAACGGAAGGCTAATTGGATTGGTCATGTTTTACGCAGAAATTTCCATCTAAAAGAAGTTATTGAAGGAAAGATAGAGGGGCGGATAGAAGTGACAAGAAAGCGAGGAAGAAGACGTGAGAAGATGCTGGATGACCTTGGGGACAGAAGAGGATATTGTCATTTGAAGGAGAAAGCTCTAGATCGCATTAAGTGGAGGAATTGTTTTGAAAGAGACTGTGTACCTGTCGTCTGACAGATTACTGATGATGATGATATTATGGAAGTATTAAAAACATTAACAAATACTTAAAAAAGTTTAAAAATATATTTAAAACTATTTATTTCTATTAATATACTGAGGCTCCAATGCTACAGTGTAGAATTGGTTATGTTATGTCGTTTGTAGGTCTTTGTTGGTAGAGGCTTTCTACTTAGTAATCCCTGTCATGGAGCCCAGAGACAAGTTTCTATGATGTACAAGTTGTTAATATGTGGTATATTAGGTGTGCATATTTCATGATATTTATCGTTATATGTTCATAAAATATGGCGTATGCGTTTTGTTTGGGTGTATGTATATGTTCGGTGTGTTCTACCTTTGAACTGGTTCGATGTAGACTGACAAATCATATCTACAACACACAACAGGAAGGAACCAATGAAGATTTGTCCTATTGTTGTGTGCGCCCAAGCGAGAAGGCATTTATCGCGCCGTTGTCTAGCTTTGCATGTTACAGTGTTAATTCTTCAGTACGTTGCTCACTTATCCGCGTACATTGCACTCGGGCTAGGCCCGAGTAAGTCAGCCAGTCAACTGTAATTCTCGCAAGTTGAACTTTACTGTCATCGCAAAACCTACAGTAGCGTTCAACCCCAACCAACGCAGTCTGACCTCACTGATAACTCAATCGGCAATGACTGAAAAGGACACATATGCCCTTATTGTAACCGATCCAACTGAAACTCATGAAGTAGGCCTTGGCTTCTCACCACAAAGCCTTGGGTTCGATGCCTGGAGGCTTCAAGTCAACTTATGGTGGACTAAAATTAGCTGCAGCAGATTTTCTCATAATTTCCTCTGATAATAATCTTCCCTCCATTACTCCATAATCATCTGTCCCCGCCCCATGATGTGCGCGATAACCCTGGAAAAGCAGCACATTATCATATTGTCAAGATTTATTTGTGATTACTGACGGGGTTTCGGATGGGATGTTTTGATTTATTGCCCCTTGTACGCTACATTCATACAGCACTCGGAACCAGAGGCAATACAGCGCTATTTCTATTCTACAGGCTTTCCATTTCACCGTTGCACGCGCACGAGGGTTCTCACTCTTCACTAGTCGTATCCTGGCAACGGATTTATTGCAGTCTCACTGTAACTTCAAATCAGATATGAAGCTTTTACCAGTCTAATTACCTTCGACTGTCATCTCCAGGACTCGACCCAATTCTCTCGACTAGTGTTCCATACTCCTTCGAGTCTTCTGACTCTGTTTTTTATAACACCTTGGCACGGCCTCCATGATAACATCCTCTTCTCTTGCTAAGGCTGCTTGTTTACTGGTCCGTTACCTAGTAATGGATGTCTTATTTTCTTTTGATCTTGTGTTGGGGGCATATGTTTACTGACCCATTGCCTAGCAATGGATATACATGTCACAGTATCCTTGGTCTGGAAGCTGGGGGCTTCATTTCTCTGACTCGGCTACGAACAAAGTAAGGAATTTTTAAAGGAAACAAGGAAATTAAGTTTAATTGTAAACAACTCAGAGTTAGTGCGTTAGTTGGGTCACCTATTGGAAGGGGTAACGCTTGTTTCGTTCTCTTTATATAAATGTATGATCAGAATGCAATAAACATCAAACAGATACTTGGAATCCACTCAAAACAAGTACAGTTTCTAAGCCAGATAAGTCGTGCGTAACGTGGAAAAGCTAACGCAAGCGAAAGACGTGTTTGTGTGTTATTGCGCTGCTGCTGTAGTTGAATTCTGATGCAAGACACAAGTGTACATGAGTGCTCAGACCTGTACTGCAGCCAACAGATGCCCCGTCCATGACGCAATAAGCACGTAACCCTGTGACCTCGATAACCACAGGTCGCTGCTAATTTTACTCTTTCCACACCCGCATTCACAGTCACCAACATGGTGACCGCAGGCACTTATGCGGTCTATTGAATCACTGCACTCACACTTTGGAGGTGAGCCTGGGACATTTAACCCTGGAGAAAGAGCCCCCGGTACCCACTGGAGCCCTTACTAAGACTCGAACTCCGATTACTAGTCCGCCCACCTCGTATAATAAAAAAAACTTTTGTTTTGGTTCTGCACTACAGGAATTTAAAAGCCAAAAATTGAGTTTCGACCGAGTCTGTATTCAATGATTAGTTAATTTTTCGTTTACTTAACCTAAAGATATATGAGACAGTCTACACAACAGCAGTTCTGAAAAAGACCAACTAGGCACTGCTGTGTCAACATTTGTTTTATTAGCTGTTGGTGGCAACGCTACAGGTTTCGACCCTTTCTTGGGCCATCAGGCGTACCAGAATACTGGTACTAGTTCTCGAATTGCGTTATTAATTAGCACGAATTTATAGTGTTTGTGTGAATTTTATGCTAACAAATACACTTTAATTTAAATGTAGTTCACATATAGCTAAAACTTTTAGTTAAATTTGACATCAAACAGATACAAATTAAAATGAAATTTAGAATTCAAGTAAAAAGTTTACTTAACCTCACTACCATAAGCGCAGTCTCCAGGATCAGCCATGAAGTGTCGAATGTTATGATTTTTACCTGTAATGAGTTGGAGACTACTACTTTAGTTTGAAGTACAGTCTCAAAAGTTACTCGGACGAATTCAATAAATCCACGAAGAACCTCAGTTATGATATCCGGTCTGAAGACCCAGATCTGATGTGGCACGGACCACCCACAGAAAATACATTGCTGCTCTGCAACGTAAATCGTGTATTGTTGTTAGGCATGTCTACTCATGCATTGTCTAACAATGGGCGCCATATTGTTGTGCATTCGTTGATGTGGGAACTCAACATTTCGGTCTCTGTTGCTTAAACACTTCCAGAGGCAACGGTCTGTTTATGTTTCGTTGCCTAGGAATTGCCAGCCGTTGACCAGAAATGGACGTTTTACATTCCGGCCTTCCGGGCGGCGCGCCACAATATTTAAATATCAGTACTTTAACCCTTACTAGACAACACATGCACGCAGCACAAGTGAAGCATTTCCTTTGAAGTGTTGGTCGCCTACTGATCAAGGCCAGAATTGGCCGAAGCATGCAAAGGCTCTATTTTACTAATAAAACATTGTTGCTATTGATGAAATTCAATTATAATTTAATTTATGTGTTAAAGAGTTCGACAGCCGAGGATATCATAAAAATAAACAAAGCGAAACATTCTCCAGTGTTTCGTACATTCGTCTCTAGATATTTTCCTGATCACTTTGGTAGCAAATGCTTGCAGAGGCAGAGACGGGTGGTGGGGGGGCGGGAGCCTCTGAGCCAGTGTGGGTGGGGATGAGTCGGGCGGCTGCTAGCTACTGTGCTGTGTCCCAGTGTGTAAAAGTTGACATCCAAGCGCGTATCGCACCTGAATGTCCTCACTGGTAAGTGGAGCTTAACCGTCACTAAAATAACTAAGGCATAAATAGATGCATAATGGAGAGGTCGTATCTATCAGTATGTCGTATGTTTTATCTCGTAAATCCCTTTGCGGATTTCGAAAAAGTTGTTTTGGATTTCATGTTCTCATACCTCTGACTATGAAGGGCGCAATTTTCTCGGTTGTGTAGCTTCGCAGTCTTTTGAAATTTCGTGGAAATTTCATAGGAACAGGTCACTGTCATCTTCAGAGTAGAAATCTGATGCAAGCAGCTAGCAAGAAGCAAAAAGTTGTTGATTGTTTAGATTACTCTTAGTCTCTGAGGATGGAAGCAGTGCGTTCCTTCGAAACGTCGATGAACTTCTATCAGATTACATTGTATCACGTCCGAGAACAATGTATCCATACTCTTTCATTCTAATTTTTTTTTAATTCTGTAGTAACCCATCTCGAAAAGCGGCCTCCGTGTTCTAGGGGTAACGTTTCCACCTCATGACTCAAGGTACGCGGGTTCAAACCCGGCGGAGGCCGTGGAATTTTTAAGGGTGGAAAAATTTAGGGAACAAGTCTTCCGGGAAGGAATTTAAGCCGTTGGTCGCGTGTCGTAGATTTACGGCACGTAAAAGATCCTCATGTCTCTAGGAGATCTCGGAACAAAATTAGGCAACAATTTCCCGCCCAAGTAGTTTCCAATGCCTCTGGTATATGGGGGAAGTATCAGGTACCGAGGGCCGACCTCGTCGGCTGAACGGGGCTGGTAGGACGCACCAGTACCGGTAGGGTATGGCGACTGGCAGAATATCAAAGGGGGACGTACAATAGATTATTAGTCGCGGTGCATGGGGAAACCGACCCCCCTCCAATAATAATAATAATAATAATGACCCATCTCGAACGAATTTTAAGTTTTATTGTAACCACATTTAATCAAGCTTCTAAAAGAGACGGAAGCATGACAATATGGAGCTGATTACGGTAGGCCTATATACAGTATACTTCATACCTAGAATTTCCTCTGCACTAATATTTATGAATATTCAAGATGGTATACTTAGGTTGTTCGTAGTTCCTACACCTGCACTGTTCTTCATATCTGTCAAGATCTCAAGAGTAAATGTCAGTCCTTCGGAGAACAGCACTTGTTTTCTTAATTAGCTCTGTGGATGTTACATTTACATTGCTAATAAGCTCACTAAAAGACTGAGAGGAATATGAGTGTTGCAAATGGAGAAGGAAGATACTTTTGGATCCGAGGATCTCATGGCGGTGACTGTGAGGATTATGCTCATGTAGTGCGTAGAGAGACCGGAGGAACATAGTACCTCCATTTTCAAGATAGAAAGGTAAACAATGTAAGAAACTAGGAGAAATAGAGCAGCAGGCTCTGCAGATTTCAGCTCTTTGACCCTGAATATGAAGGCTATATGTTCCTCCGAAACGTCGGGCTCTCTCATGACTAGACAACTATGCAGCCAAGAAAATCGTTCTATTTAAAGACTTTTCTTTGCATTTATTATCTCAATATTGAAGCATTAATAAAAACTAACAGGGATCTTATCAATTTGTCTTGCTGGCAGTCTTCCTGGGAACGAAGCAGATCTAGAATTCCTTACTGATGCATCAGGGTGGAATATATTCTACTGTCTTCATATCTAAAGCAACAGTTAGCTACCTAACCCCAGGTTCGTCACCGCTGCTGACTCAGCCACTACCGAACACCATCTTGAGCCAGTTAAATCCATCCCTCATATTTAGAACCTAGTTCAGCCTTAACCATTTAAGGCCCAGCAGTTAGAGAGTGCGCCATCTGCTTTAATATAATTTTTGGCACGTAAGGAATTTATGTGATTCATATGATTTTGGCAATAAACTTTATTATTTTTTAAACAACATCAAAATTTGAGATGTTAACTGAATTATTATGTTCTGTAGGTGCATTTTAACCCTTAAAGGTTCTAATATTGTCCTTCCATTTTCCGCTTACTCTTGCAAATGGCCGTTGTCCAAGACGAGACATCGTGAATCGTTTCTATCGCGTCCGATCGACACATTACTAGCATTCAAAACCTTACTGCCTCGTCAACACGAAGGGACCTTGATCGGATATTCCCTCCTTATGTGACATCTAGACTTCTTATCTTGCATCTTCACCTTAAGCAAACATTGCAGTGCCGGTCTCTTCCTCAGGCGCTTGTAAATTGTATCCGTAATAAACATTTAAAACGGTTACTAACAATTACGGGATGGGTAGCAAACGTAGCAGAGCAAGAAAGGCGTATAAAATTCTGGCAAGACGAAGATATGGTGACATATTGCTCGAGTAACTTCCGTTTCAACGCAACGGCGCTGTAAACATGCCTCCTCAACATTATAGAAGCTGTGTTTACTGCGAGGTCCGTGCATAGTTGTTACAAAGAAGAATTCAATCGAGACGCGTCGCGTTTCGAGATGCAACCCTGCCAGGATATAAGCTTGGGAGCAGAGGAATCGTGTTGAGCGCAGTGTTCGGAATTGGCAGACGCAGAATAATGACAAGAAAGGAATGAGGCTGTACAAAGAAGACTTCATGTGTGATTTGAAGTGACAACGAGAGCGTGATAAATAGCCACGACTAATGAAGCCTGAGAAGGCTAGTGCGTGCGTAAGGGTAAGCTGAAAATTGTGTAGATGAGCGATAGAGCTCTGTTACCTGTAATTCCTAGTTGTGCGAATGTACGTGTACAAGGTGTCAATAAATCCAATCATCTAATCCAGACCCCGTCTAATAAGTAACGCACAACCCCTACATGTGACAATATGCTTTATCGCCATTGATTTTCAGTTCCGCTTCAACTCTCTGTCTCTGTAAGAGGCCCTGGAGACCCATAGGGCTTTCAGACGTCGGGGCTCCACGTGCTGTAGACAATGGGCTCGCAGATGACGGTAAGGTTGTCAGTCTTACGCGCCGGTAAGGCGCCCTTTACCCCCAGGAAGATTCCTGGTACTCATTAGTGTTAGAGGTTGAATCGACTCGAATAAGGATAAGGTCAATTGAAAAATCCATTGACCTCATCGGGAATCGAGCCCGCGACCTTTCCAGCTTGTAGCATACTGTCTCAATCAGTGACACTACCGCGTCCCCCTTCTGCTTTAGAACACACCATTACAAATTTCAGGAATATCAGGCTGGAAATAAGGAGACACAGACATGTCAGTTTCTGTTCACTGTTGACGAAGTTCATACGCCGAACGGAAATATAAATATCACATGGCGCTCGATAAATACTTACAAATATTTCGGAGGAACTTGCTACATCCATCTATATTCTACGTCCGTCTTTACCCTACACTTGCAAGTAGCGAGTTCCTCTAAAGCGCCAGAAATCACGGCATCACATTCGTGATGATCATAGTGTTAATGACTGCAATGCGTGAAAATAAAGGAGTGGTCTGTGACTGAACTAAGCAGACCAGGCTCGTGCTCGCCACGCACTGGAGGTGCAAGGCCTGACCACGGAGGTTCTTCAGACATGTTTCGAGAATATGACAAAATGCAGATATTCAGGGACGGCTGTAACAAATTTAATTCCATTCTGTCTGCCTGTCAGCACAAAATTCATTCTACTCCCCTGCCCGAACACGTAAATATCAAAACATGCAAAATTATTTTGTCCGTCGTTTTGCATGGGTATGAAAATTGGTCTCTTTCAAAGAAGATAGTGCACTGGTGCTTGAAAACAGGATGGAAAGGTAAAGCTGCCCCTGTGCTTAGCTAATTAAGCTCTACACCATGAAGACGTATGGGGGAGTGGATGTATGGACACATGTTTTCTTGACCTCGGCACTAGCTGGAGGTAAGTGATCAACTTCACGACCCGGCCGCTTTACCCCCGGTACCCATTTGATAGGAGGCTGGATAAGGACCAGAATCAGTGGAGAAACGAAGATTCTTGACTCTACTGGGAATGGAACTCTGAACCCTCGGTCGTCCATCCGCAGCGAAAGGGTTAAGAACAACGCAGACTGAATTATTTACTTACACCTAAAGGAAAAGTAAAGTTGTCCCTGTACTTAACTAATTAAGCACTACGCCATGAAGGCGTGTGGGGGAGTAGATATTTAGATCCACATTGTCCTGACCTCAGCACTAATTGGAGGTGAGTGGTCAGCTTCAGGCCGCTACTGCTTTACCCTTGAGGACATCCCCCCTACCTCCGGTGCCCATTGGATAGGAGGCTGGGTGGACCCCAAAGCCTGTCTGGACGACGTGGAAAACAGAAAAGTTTTGACCCTACCGTAACTCGAACTTCGACCTCTCTGCCGTCCAACCCGTAGCCAGTCGGTATACTGACTTACACCTAAGTACCTAGATTAATGCTGAATTCCCTGATATATGATATACATATAACCTGAGCAACGAAGAGCTTCTGTAAGCAATCTTATGAACTGCAGGTGATGTGTAGGCCTGATGAATATTTATTCAGTACACAGTACGCACCACGACGTTACGGAACGCAGCAATTTCCTTCTGCAACGAAGGTAAATATGGCAAATATGTAAACTGCTGTTTCCTCAGTACTTTTGAATATGTGCTGCACAGGCACTCGAGTAACAACTCATTGCATTTATGCTTTCACATTTACACACTGAATTGGCATCACGTCTCAGTCTTCCATATTGAGCTCCATATTCATTGCTAAATCCTTGACTGAATTCTGCGTCTAAAAATAAGCTGTTCCGGCTGGTAACTGCTTGGAATGTGGTCGCTGCTGCGAAGCGAGATTACCGACATATTAGAGGTTTATTGCTGCGAGGAATCAGAAATTCACGATCGAAACTGACTGACAGTGTCCGTAAATAAGGCAAAGTTTTCCTTATACGTAACTAATTAAGCACTATGCCATGAAGACGTATGGAAGAGTGAATGTACAAACCCACATTTTCTTGGCTTCGGCACTAGTTGGAGGTAAGTAGTTAGCTCCGCGTCCCGGCCGCTTTATTCCCAGGGAAAGAACCCCCGGTACC